AACTTTCTAGAATCCTCCTTCTGTAAAACGAAATTTGAAAATGTTCTATTAAAAGTAAATCTGCCAACATTTAAAGTACAGTTTTGGTAATGGCATCGAATTAGACCTTTTTGTATATGAAATGTAATTTATTTATATTTAAAGTGTAATTTTAAATAACTAAAAAATTTTTGCCCCAAATAGTAGATTTTCTTTTCATTCTCAAAAACTGGCAAGAGAAATAATGAATTTGGAAGAGTGTAGAGTCTAGCCACAATGCACATTTAATTGTACTTAATTTATACTTTATTTAAATAGACTCTCTGTTTTTTAATAATTTAGACTCAAGAGTTCCCTTCAAAGCATAATAAAATATTTACACTTTATAAAATATTAACCGATTAAACAATACTTCCGTGTTGTTTATAAGAGTGTTGCTGAAGTTCATAATCATACTGTTGACACAAGTCTGTGAGGTTAGCGAAGTGATCCTTAGCAAAATGCAAACGAAGATTTTCCCGACAGTGATTTTTATAAAATAGCTCATTAATGACTTAGGATTGAATCGCTCCAACCATTCGCATCATCAGATATAATAATAGTGACGAATCAGAAAAAAAAGATCCCCACTAAACGATTTGCATTTCTTTTCCAGAAGTCCTGAAGTCCTAATATCAATTCTTCTTAGTTCGTGGACACTGGGCCAGAGGTGGATTCCGCAATTCCAATACCAAGGTAAGTAAGGAAATGGGGGTCTTAGTATCATTAACATATAATTAAGATATATGCATTTCTCATTTTTAAAACAGGCTAAGTTTGACAGTGATAGTTAAGTTTTTGAAACACCCCTTTTCTCATTTCGAAATGCTAGAACAGATTATTCTTTTTTTTTTTTTTTTTTAAAGTTTGTCGGTTAAACTTATTTTCTTTCTTTGCCTCCAAACCCCTTGTTTTAGCTACTTTCAAGGGCTGATTTACTTGAGCCACTTCGCTTTCGCCGGCTTGGAATTTTCTCTAGCCCCTTTGGCTGGGCACGCTGGTGGGGACACGGAATTTGGGGGAGAAGAAAAAGCAGAGAAAAGAAAGGGGCTTCTAAAATTGCGGCGGCCGCCAAGCAGTACCGCCCTGCTGGCCTCCCTCTTCTGGGCTCCGCTCCCCCGTCGCCCCGGGCCTCCAGTGAAGTTAGTGGGCGGCTCCTGGGAAGGGGACTCACCGAGGTCCGGGAGCCGAGATCTAGGCCAGGGACGGGTTTCGTTTCGGGGACCCTTTCTCTCTCAGAACCCCCCAGGCCTCCCTGGCCATAGGCTTGGGGCGTTAGGGGTCGGGAGTGGGGGCGGTGACGAAGCAAGTGGACAGCAGCCTCGACCAGCCCAGCTCAAGGCCGGGATTTAGAGAATTGCCCCGAGCGCGTTTCCCGAAACCGAATTTAGTTTGGCCCTCTGGCGCCGCCGTACAGTCTACGCTTCTTAAGGGGGACTAGTGGCTCTAGCAACCGGTGGAAGCCGAGTCCTTAGGGTCCCGGGGAACAGGAGGGACGAGAGGTGATGCCAGCTCGAGGGGCTCCTCCGGCCCGAAGGCCGGCGAGGACTGGCTCCCATTTTCTCCTCTGAGGTCCCAGCGGCTGACGGACGCCGGACGCCGCCAGCACCTCTCCGGGGCCGCGGCCCCTGCCCACGTGCTTTTTCTTAAGGACGTCCGCGCCCAAGCCGGACGGTCAGGACAAAAGCGCGGCCCGGAGCCGGGTTTGGGCGGGCAGCGCTCGCGCCACCTTAAACAAGTAACGCGCGGCGGGAGCCGAGAGGCTAGGGCCGCGGGAGTCCGCAAAAGTTTGTGGCTTCTAAGCCTCGGAAGGACCAGCTAGGGGAGCACCGGCGCGGCCTCGCCGGGGAGGAGAGGCTGGGCCCCCGCGGCTCAGCGCTGCTTGCGCTCGAACCCGGTCCCCAGCCGCTGGGGGAGTCTTGGGGAACCCCAATGCCGCGACCCGAGGGCGCGCAGTCCCAGCGCCCGGGGCCGGCACCGCGTTCTGGCCTCCGGGCGACCCGGGCTCGCAACATCGCCCGCGCGGCGAGGGGGATGCAGCCTGCCCCCGCGCCCACCGAGCAACCCTCTCTGCACTGCCACCCGCGGCCGGGCGGGCGGTGGCTCGCTCCAGGCGTTCGGGACACCCGGGCTATTGTTCCGGACCCGCGGCCGCGCCCGATCTCGGGGAGAAGCGGCCTCTCCTCCCCCTCGTCCCCACCCCACGCGCGGCTCCGGGGAGCGCGGCGGGCCGGGCCGGTCGGCTCCGAGCTGATGGGGAGCTTGCCCGCACGGAGAAAAGTTGCTCCGAGGGGCGGAGGCGGTGGGTGGTGGGCGGAGGCGGTGGGTGGGGGAGGCGATCGCCCTCCTATCTCCAAAGTCGAAAGTACTCGGCGGCGCAGTTAACAGAGCCCGGGGACGAGGCAGCCTCCGCCGCCTCCCGAGCGCCGGTCTGCGCCCCTGCGGCGAGCCGCGGCACGGAGCGCCCGCCTGGTCGCCGCAGCCTGCGCGCCGGGACGAGCGCGCCTAGGGGCTGGGCGAGGCGGCTGCGCCCTGGTCTTGCTACGAGGAGGAGGAGGAGGACCAGACCCTGGGCCCTGGCGTTAGCCAGCGCCCGGACGCACCCATCCGTCGGCCGTGGCCACCTCCTCGCGCCACACTCATTCCTCAGCCATCCGTCCTTCGTCGCCCGGTGCATGAGGTCCTCGCCACCCCGCTCCCACTCCTCCTTTCTCCCTGCCTCCCCCCCCCCCCTCGCCTATCCCTGCGCCTCCTCCGCAGCCCGGCTCGTTGGGTCGCCGTGCTCACAGCGATTGATTGATTGATGTTTAATTTCCTGCCAGGCGGGCCCCCCCTCCCCCCGCAACCTCCCCAACCCTCCTCCCCGCCCCCCACTCCCCTCCTTCATTGCGGTGGACCAGTCTGGTTTGGGTTTAGATCCGTCCCCCCCCATCCCCATCCCGAAATAACCCAAAGACTTCCCCTACCCCCACCCCAAATTATTATTTTGAAGGCGCTAGATCTGGGGACCGAAAGGGGGAGGGGGAGAAATCGGAAACCGGGGACAACCCAAAAGGACTCACTTTGCCTGATGACTCAACGCAACTAATAATCATCTCCCTCTCAGTGTGTCTCTCTCTCTGCGGCTTGTCAGTGAGTCCGGCTCTGGCTTCTGGCAGAGGCGGCCGCGAGGGGAGAGGTTGGAGGTGACAGCTTGGGCGGCCGCCGCGTTTTCTCTTGCGCGGGGTCCGGGCTCTCCGCGCCTTCTCCGCTCTTGGTGGCACCGTCCCCGCGGCTCTGGCCGCGCCTCCTCTCGGGCTAGAGGCTGCGGGAGCCGGCAGCCGCCGCAGCCTCCCCGTCCTCAGCCCTTTCTCTCCAGAACGGGTCTCCTTCCCGAAGGTGTGAAAGGCTCTTTCAGCCCCCTCTCTCCCCCCCCTCCTCCGCCGTCCCCTCCCCCGCTCGCTCGGGTGCCCCTTTGGAGGAGTCCTCCTTTCCCTCTCCTCCTCCCTCATCCCACCCCACCCCCACCATCATAACCACCATCTCCGAACCAGAAGAAGACACCCTGACCCAGGACCTTAAACGCTAGGACCGGGGAAGAGGAAAAGGAAAGGGGAAGGAGGAAAGAGAAGGGAAGACCGCGACCACATTGCAAACCACCAGAAACTTTCCACCCTGGATTCTCTACTTTTGCTCCATGGACAGAGCCCCAGCCAGCCAAGTTTCAGACAGACCGTGAGCAGTAAGTACGCTGGGTTAGGGCTCCCGCGCGGCGCCCGGAGTTGTCGGGAGCCCGGGGCGCGCAAGTTCCCCGGCTTTTCCCCGGCTCCGACTCCCACGCGCTCTTGGGCGAAGCCGGGGAGCACGGCGGAGCCTCCGCTCGCAAACCCTCCGCGTACCCCCTGCATCTCTCGCGTTCTCCCCTTCCCTCTCCGTCACCCCCACCTTGTCTCTTCGACCCGCGGCGACTAGGCTGCCCCCGCGTCCGGAGCGCGCCGGGGCATTCGCGGCCCCCCAGGTGTATTCGGGGGCTCCTCTCGCGGGGTCGGTGACAGGGTGGGCGCAGCTTCCTCAGGTGTTCCCCCTTCTTCCGGGTCACTCCTCCAGAACTGAAGAGTGCGGAGAACTGCGTGGAGCGCCGCTCGCCTAGGGACTCTCGAGAAAAACTTTACAGATTTAGAAATTAGGATTAACGAAGGCTGCTCCTGCACCCGGGCATCTAAATGTCTTTCCCTTGTGTTTTATGCTTAATGGCTTTTAAAGAAGCCCCCGGGATCCGATGACGATAAGAATGCTCCAAAACAGTCGTAACTGTGATCCTGTGATGGGAGGACAGCCTCTCCAAACCTCACAGTGTTTTGGGATGCTCATTCACGTGGAATCGTAGTTAATTTTTGTGAAAAGGTGCGCGTGCTCGTGTGTGCGTGCATACACAAGTGTGCGTGTGCACTTGATCCATAAAGGTAAAAAGTGGGGCTTCCGTGGGGCCATCGATCCAGTCTTAGGCTCCTGCCTTGGCCGTTCACAGCCCATTTACCAGGCAATTCATCTGCTTAAGAACCGGTGTGTGTCCTTGCCCCTTCCGTAGGCCAGGTGAGACCTCTTGCTCTGAAGTACTCTGGGTTCAAAACCCCGACCCCCCAGGTCGGGGGCCGGGGCCGGGGTTCTCCACGGGAGAGAGGCTAACGCTCGCGCTGCCCGCAATGAATGGGGTACTGCTAAGCGCTTCGAGGTCCGACTCTGGGCACATGCCTGAGGGCTAACTCTTGGGACCTGTGACTTAGTACTTCGAGTTCTGGGCAGCTCTGGGGCCTCCAGTGTCTGGTTGGGACCGGCTTCCCCCGGACCCTTCGGGACCCTTCTGCAGCGTGGGAGGAAGTTTGTGTGGCTGCGGTGCAGTGCTCCGCCACTGGCTTGAACGTCTATCACGTGTGTGAGCGGTTTTCCCTCTTTTTTTTTTCCCTCCCCCTTCCCTCCTCTCCGCCCCCTCCCTAGGTCCCTGCGCGTTTTATTGCGACCTGCCGGTGGGAACTTTGTCTCCAAATCGGAGCAGCATGGAGCGGCGGAGCGAGAGCCCGTGTCTGCGGGACAGCCCCGACCGAAGGAGCGGCAGTCCCGACGTCAAGGGGCCTCCCCCGGTGAAGGTGGCCCGGCTGGAGCAGAACGGCAGCCCCATGGGAGCCCGCGGGAGGCCCAACGGCGCCGTGGCCAAGGCCGTGGGAGGTAACAGCCCGGAGCTGGGAGGTGCGCGCAGCCGGAGGCCCAGTGATAATGGCCTGGGTGTCAGGGTTCAGGTTGATTAGGCGCTGTTTCGGTGTAGGATTACAGGAAGTCAAACCCAGGTTGCCAAATAATGCCCTGGTCGCCTCTCCGCAACTGGTAGTAGCTTCGTCTTGAGTTAAAACAAGAAAGCGGTTTACCCAGAGGGTGGCATTTTTTGGGCACTTTGCCACTGTGTGCTGAGGTGTTGGCAGGTCTGTGTCACAGCCAGCTAACTGTTTCTAGATTTTCCTAGAGAGCTCTTCAGTGTTTTCACTCCTTTGCCTTGCCTCGGATCTGTTCTATGGCTGAAGTTACAAGCCTTGATTTCAGTGGGACGGAGACCGAGCACCGGGCTAGGGCAGGAGCAGTGGTTTTGGTGTTCTTTTGTAGCTGGGGCAGTGCGGAGAGACCACAGTGACAACTAGGACTGCGAAGTTGTAGGGCAAACGAAGAATTGTCCTGAAGGCAATATGTCCTTGGAGGATTTGAGGCGGAGGTTGCCAGCAGAGTTCAGACTCGGCCATTTGTAACTTTGTTAGGAACTAGAGAACTGGGCGACAAATAGTAAGCAACTTTATTTGCTGCCTGCTGCTTCCCCACCCAAGAAACTATTATTTAGGGATGTTTTCATTACATTTACAAATACTTTTTTCAAAAGTGTTTGGTGAAGTGACCTTACAAAATAAGACCAGAGAGAGATTTAAATACTAAGACATAATTTTGGGCTTGCAAGCCAGGCTGTCAGTTACATATGAGATGTGCAGTTTTATGTGGCATTGGGATAAATCATTCCTTTAATTTTATTATGCCGAGATTCCCCTTCATCCGAGGTGCTTTTCGGAGCAGCATGTTTAATGCAATTCTTTACGTTGACCAGCATAAAATAATACAAATTTATGGCAAACTTGGTGATAACGTCCCCCCTCCCCCGTGTTTGTGGTGTGCATTGACTTTTGGAATATTTAGTTTGAAGTATCTCCACATACATAATAAGATGGCACTTTTCTGGTTTTTAATTATTTTACTATTTTTCTTTGTGGTAGTCATTAAAGATGGCTTGCCTTAATTCTTTAAGTCAGCCATCTCTCTTGAGAAGCAGCCTTCCTCTCCATTTTTAAAGTTTTGAAAACATGATTTAGCTTCTGTATAGTCCCACTTAGAGAATATACTTTTAATAAGGCAAGGGAAGGAAAGAAGGAAGGAAGAAAGGAAGGAAACCCGGTAGCTCTATGACTCACTTTCCAAGAGTGGGATTCATGAGCGTTGTCCCGAGACTGGCACAGTGACATCAGCTTTGATACACAATCACTCATACAATGGAGAGAAATACAGCACAGATACGGTAGGACTGAGCTGGGCGTGCTGTACATGCTGTTAATGGTCTGGTGAAGATAGTTTTTGGAAATCCTTGATGAACGTGTATTCTGGAAATTACCTTTTATGTAAGAAAAATCTTGGACTTAAATTTTCTGTGTCTTTTTGTCAACCCAGCAAAGTTTACTGCATGCTCTAAGTTCGCTTGAACTATGAAAGAAACTGCCTCAGTATGTTGATCAGGGCACCTTCAGTGTGGAATAGTAGTTCCATTGCAGACTTTCTGAAATTATAATTTGCAATTGACCACTGACTCTAAATTTGCTGCAAACTAAAATTATTCCCTTTGTGAAGAGGAATAATAGATTTGTTTCAATAAGCTTCTCTAGTCAGCACCTTGGAGGCTTAACTTGATTTAGAAACAGTGAGGGCCCCGTTAGATGCCTCCCAAGCTGGAAGTAAAATGACAGCATTTTGCCTTAATGCATAACATTTGTAGCACTTAATACTAAAAGGGTATATGCTGTATTTGCATATGGTGGACTTCTAAATATTCTTTTAAAAAAGCTTTAATTCTTTACAGCATAGTAGATTCTTTGGAAATAAATTAATTTAGAAACTTTCAAAATGTAACAGTTTAGGATATAAAAAGCAGTGCAAAGCTTTTTTTATTGAATGGTAATAATTATTTTGTTGGCTCCAGTTATAATTTTATTTCTTTATAACTTCTAATCATGTATAAAAACTGGAGGAAAGCCAGCCTTTAAAAAAATGTATATTCTAAAGTTAAAAAATGTTCAAAGTATATTTCTAGTTAGAATACTTCCTAATTGAAACTTTTTTCTTTTAACATGGATAAATATAAACTAGATTGTATTTCCACCGTCCTATATCTTCTGTTGAATATTCTTTATAAAACAAACATCGATAACCACAAAAAATATTTATAGCTGAGTCATTTATTTTCATTTTCGGATCTGTTGCTCTCTGTCCGAGCCATGAAGACAGATGCATGTACACACAGTATTTGGGAACACATGCTTGTTTCTCCTGAGCGTTCTTCCTGAAAATTGTTCTCCTCACAGAAATAGGGGAAATCATTATGTTAATTGGTTGCTCAGTAAAATAGCAATTTATCCCACCGCTTCTGATAAGCATGGAGAGATAAATGTTTTTGGTTGTCTGCAAGAGTGAGTTCTGTTGCTGTTCTCCTTATTAAAGAGTGGGAACTTGTTAGGATTTTTGATGAGACTTAGATATTCATAAAGAAGGGGGGGCATTCTCGAAGTGTCTGGTTTGAACCAGCTGAGTGGTGAATGCTGCTTTTCAGGCTCTAAAGTTGTCTTTTAAGAAGCAACTTAGGCTGAGTCTGCCTTGTTTACAATGTGGCCAGCCTTAGAAGCCTGTTAGCAACTACAGCAGTTTTGCTTTGTCTTTTCCATACCCCCAGGATGTTTCTGCTCTTTATTTATGTTGTGTTTTTTCAAAGCATGTTTGTAGTGAAATGCAAGGGCTCAGATGGATATGACAGTCAGCTTTTGTAGAAGGTCCTCAGGAAAAAAAAAAAAAAAAAGGCTAATATCTCTTTAAAAAACATAGGAAGGCTGGGAGAGAGTTTAGACAGGCAAGAGCCCTGTGGTGTTGACAGCTTTATATCCCTGCTGGGTGACATTCACTTACTAGAATTGGCGTCCCCTCTCAGCTAGTAATTCACTCCATAAGGATTTGGGAAAAGGATGATTAATGGCGGGGAAATTTATATTTGTAAAATTGTTGATTAAAACTTATAGATCTATTTGAAGACTTAGAAGAAGAAGAGATTATTAAGGATGCAACAGCCGATCCTTTTCATCACCCTTAGCATGAGCCCCTAAAATATGTTGTGCTGTGTGGAATGCCTCGGCCAGGCAACCTACAGCCTAAAATGAAAGTGGGGCCAGGGTAGTTTACAGAGTAGCCCAAGCCTTTTTCCTGGACTGCTGGAAGGGGCTGGCGTTATGCGTTAATAGCACTAAGTAATTGTGCTTCATTCATTGTTAACACAAGCATTTTCACTTTTTAATGTTTGGCTTCGAGAAGAACTTTCAGACAGCTTTATTTAAACTGAATGAACAGCACTTGGCTATACCAGATGGTGTATTTGCTGATAGGAGGCATTAAACATCAGAAATCTTTTTGGTATTTTTCTTTTTCCTATGATTTTTAATGCTTTTTAAAAAAGGGTGTGCGTGTGGTAAATGTTCTGGTTTGGGAGGGGGTGGATTTTTAAACATTGGGAATGTCTTATTGAAATACCTGCTCATTTTGTTAAAAATTTGCTTATTTTTGAAAAACATTTTGCTTTAGAAATAATTGGATTTTATTGGGGAACCGCTGGCTGAAGTTACCTCATAACAAAACTCCCTGAAGTAGATGTTCCCCCTTGCTCCCAGGCCAGGGCAAGAACAGAGCCGTCTTGTTGCAAGGGCATAGAACCATTATGCAGTGCACACGTGATGCACTCAAACAGAGAAGAAAATGTGATCAAGATCGCTAGGCAGGGCCTCGTTTGGAGCTGAGCGCATCTCCCACCACAGTAGTTACCTAAACTGTCTGCGCGTGGGATATCTCCTTTTCAACTAACAGTCAAAGAAGTGTGGGTCCAGCCAGGTGTAGACACTTTATTAGCTGTGGTGCAGCCATAATTTTACTTTTGGAAAGGCATGCTGATAAGAAAAAGTGCAGATACTCGTGTAATAGTGAAGCATACAAAATACTTAGGAGTATAATTGTCAACACGGGGAAATGGAGAGAACTCTGCTTCCAAGGATGAGTGCCATAAGGTCCAGCGGCAGCTGGAGCATATGTTTGTAGGAAGCACTCAGTGTTTGAAGAGAGAAGGCTTTGCTACCCCTTCCCCACCATTATTACCATTTTAAATTTAGAGGTTTATGGTCTCTTCAGAAGAGTATGAACTTAGGCTTTGGGGGTCATCTAACAGTCTGACATGTCCTCTGTCGTTTTGCTGAGGTAGAAAAATAGCTCTTCCCTAAAGTGTTTTTAGCCCTTGGCCTGTTATTAAAATAAAGACATACTTGGTTAAAAAAATATATGCAATGGAACATACACATTAAACAGAACATAGGGTATCCGCCCCTCAAAGTCCTGAGTGTAATTTGGTGTTTCAAGTAATTTTGGAAGTTTCATGTTCCATCAGCAGAAACCCACTGACCATTATATAGTGAAGATCTGCAGCACTGGTGTGTGTGTGTGTGTGTGTGTGTGTGTGTGTGTGTGTGTGTGTGTGTATGTTGTTAAAGCTACAAAGATGTCCCTTAAGCATCTGTTTTTTAACTGGTGCAGAAAATAAGCAATACTCTTCATTTCCTGGAGGCTGTGACTAGCAGAGTCAATTTGTCCATCCTAGATATCCTGTATTGATTCTCTTCTCTCCCTTTCTTTCTTTCTTTCTTTCTTTCTTTCTTTCTTTCTTTCTTTCTTTCTTTCTTTCTTTCTTTCTTTCTCCCTCCTCTTTCCCTCTAGGAAGAGAAAATAGATTAATTAGCATTTATGAGATATCTGAGAATATGAATCTGAGTAATTTTAAGGACAAGGAAATTAGTTCTTTCAAGGAAGACTATGGTAATTTTTTGGGTACTGCTGGCAAG